GACTAATGCTCCTCCACTGGCGGCATCCACCATTTTCATTTCCATTGGCAAAAGGTCTTCATAAAAGTATTAAAGTAATGTTTGCTCGCTTAATCAGTGTTGTGGAAAACATGCACAAAGCTTTTTAAATCGATCCCAATATTCATAAAGACTTTATTCTCTCTTTTGTTGAATGGAAAGAATGCTCCTTCGTAACTCGCTTGCTTTAGCCGTTGAAAATAACCTGTCAAGAAAAATTTGATTCATGTCAGCCCATGAATTAACTGAATTTGGAGGTAAATAAAATAACCAATCTTTAGCCAAGTCAGCTAAAGAGAAATGGAAAGCTCTCAATTTAATTGATCTTCGGTAACTCCCTGTGGTTTCATGCTAGTGCAAACCATGTGGAATTCCAACAAGTGTTTGTACGGATCTTCAGTGGGAAAGCCGTGGAAAGTGGGAAGAAGATGAATGAGTCCCGTCTTTAATTGAAACAGAGTCCTGCCACTAGAAAAATTAATGCATAATGGCGTCTGAGTGATAGGAGTTGTGGCTAGCTCTCGGATCGTTTGTTCCACCATCGGAATGTTGTATGCGTCTGCTTTAGAGTCTGGATTTGATTCTGTTTCTGATTTATGCTCTTGTTCTTCTTGTCTTTTTCTCTTTTCTCGAAGCGTTTATGCGTGGATTCTTTGTGCTCGTGCTTCGATCTCCTAATTCACCCGGGTTTCTTCTGGTCATAAATAAAAAAACTAGAAAAATAAATCAGTACTTGCCGTTAGGCCCCGGCAACGACGCCAATTTAATAACTGTCGTTTTGCTATCAAAATAATTCATGGTTTCTTAATAAATAAAAAGGAAAATGTTGTATAAAGAAGCAGGGTTGATCCACAGGGACTATGGTTTTTATGATTTAATAAAATTGTTTCTTGATTTTAGGAAAAGATAGAATTGCAGGTAAAGTTGAAAAGGTATAATAAAATAAATAATTATAAAAAGAAAAAATAATATAATAATAAATATTAATAGTAATAAATATAAAAGGAGATTTTTAAAATTTATTTTTTTAAAAAAAAGAATTAAAAAAAAAGAAAAATAATTAAATAAATACATTAAAGATATTGAGATATAAATAAACTTATTGTGAAAGCAGCCTCAGCTTCAGTATCGGCTCAAATTCCTCGGATCATTGAAACAGATTTTTACTTCAAGATTCACGTCAGCTTACAAGGACAATTCTTCGCTGCCAACTCGGATTGTGTCGTTTCAATAACAGCTGGTTCCGATCTCAGTTTCCTCTTAGCAAACAATTTTGCTAAGTGTGTTATTGGGAAGTTGAATATAATTCAATAAGCAAATCCTTCTTCAAACGTTAACCAGAACAATATCCGGACCAATATCGAAATCGTTTTGATTTAAAAAGTAAACTCATAAAACAGAGAGAAAATCCAAAGCGATTTAAATACCTTACAATTCTAACGTTTGGAATTGGGCCTTCGCTTTAGTCTTCGACTTGAAAGAAAATTAACTAATCATAACCAAAGTCATACTTAGCATAATAGAAAAATATGCGAAAAATAGAGAAAAAGAAGATTTTATTCTCAAATGAGAGAAATATGTCTCTAGGCTCACTTTTAGAGGGTGTTTATAGCCTTCAAATTCCTAAAAACAACCTAAAACATCTTAATCCTAATTAAAACACTTAAAACTATTTAAACTAAAATACCTAAAAAATAATATAATATTCTAAATCCTAATTAAAATACTAAGACCTATTTAAACTAAAATACCTAAAACAAATATAAAATATAAAAATAATATCCTAAAACTTAATTAAAATACTAAAACCTATTTAAACTAAAATACAAAGATAAAATATAATGTTTAAAATATTATCCTAAACTAGAGTTTAATCCAAATCCGAATTCCAGCCAGCTTTGATTCCGAAAATAAAAAAATCTGCAGAATTGTGTCCTTTTTGTGCAATTTCCAAAAGCTTACGTCCTGTACAGAAAATGAATTAAAATGAACAAATAAGTCATAAAAATCAATGATTAAAGAATAATTTAAAAGTAAAATATTAACTAAAATAAGCACTTATCACATACTCTTTTCGTATCTTATGTTAATGGCTCAGATATTTGAACCTTTTGGACCTGTGGAGCTTGTGCAACTACCACTTGACCTTGAAACTGGGTGGTGCAAAGGTTTTGGGTTTGTTCAGGTTAGATATAGATGAAGACTTGGCTTATGTTCATTTTCCTGCATGGTAATAATTATGTATTTAGTTGTTGCCTTTTTTTTGTTTTTGCAGTTTGCTCAACTTGAACATGCAAAAGCAGCTCAAAGTGCCTTGAATGGGAAACTGGAGATTGTTGGTCGAACCATTAAGGTAGGCTGGGTAATTTCCTGAAATTGGAGGATTATGTTAGTCTAATTCCAGTGTCTGATCTCTGTTTTTATCTTTAGTCACGAAAACTGCAAAAAGAAAAAGAAATAAAAACTAAAACTGCCTTTTTATTATATTAACTTCTTTATGGTTAAACTTGCATATAGGTTTCATTTGTTACAGATCATGTTACTCAAGATACTACATCAAAATCTGCAGAGTTTGATGATGACGAGGAGGGTGGCTTGGTAAGCAGAAATGCATATTATTATAGATAGTAGAATTTAAAGAATGTTGATTTTTATCCAGGCTTTGAATGCTCAATCAAGAGCATTGCTTATGCAGAAACTGGATCGCTCTGGTATTGCAACAAGGTTCGTTTACCCTTTCAGACGGTCCTTTCCAGTTTTTAATCATATCATAATCCAATGTAATTGTTTTGCAGCATTACAGGATCCCTTGGATTATCCCTTGTTAATGGGTCTGCTCCAACTTAACAAACTGTTACATTACCCGTCAATGGTCAGGGGGCATATCCGGCACCAGTTCTACCACCAATCATGTCTACTACAGCCCTTGATCCTATTGGACAGCCCAGTGAGTGTTTGCTGTTGAAGAATATGTTTGATCCTGCAACTGAGGTTTGGATTTTCCTGTTCTAAACATGCTATTTCATTGTTACTTGTGTTCTTTTCTGCTTCCTTGTACAAGGTAGTTATTTTTCTGTAAGTTTTATTGCCAGACGGAACCAGATTTTGACTTGGATATTAAAGAGGATGTTGAAGAAGAATGCAGCAAATATGGCAGGGTGAAGAATATTTATGTGGACAAGCAAGCAATGCGCTATCTATTGCTTGGGATAAACTCATTTATTTCAGAAATTGTTTTTATTTTTTCAAATCTGGATACGCATCTTCTATAGCCGTTATTTATTGTTTATTATAGAGCAGATGTTCTATCTATGTTGAACATAAGACCTATTTGTCAACCTATTGTTGGTTGTTTTACTTGATAACTCTGTTACCCTATAAATCGATAATTGAGGATGCATTTTGGATGGCTACATTGGAAGGAACTATCAAGTTGAGTCTTTAGTGACATATCTGTACTTTTCTTTTTCATTGCTGCAGCATTTTGCATTAGAGTTCCTAATATTGCCAAATACACGTGTTATATATATATATATATAAATCATGTACGGAGAGCCTAGCAAATATATTTGATACTGAAATTTATATCCTTCAATCATGTTCTCCATAGACTGGAAACTTAGGACTCTCCGATGCTAGTGGATAGTCACCTTTTTTACATCTATTAATCTGTTGGTCACATTTTGGATAGTCACGTGTTATAGTTACGCAGTATAACATTTTTTTCCTTCAATCTACAGAAACAGTGCTGGTTGTGTGTATCTTCGATTTGATTCCACAGAAGCAGCGGGTAAAGCTCAACGTGCAATGAATATGAGATGGTTTGCGGGGCGATCAATATCAGCGTTATTTATGGTAAATATTCAGGCATTGGTTTTCCAGTCTAATACTTTCTGTTTTTACAGTCTCCTTGATCCTTGACTGAAGTTTGAATGGACTTCGATCTCTAGTTTCTCTTTGTGCGTGCGTTAGGTTGAGTCTTAAGTAATGGTTGAGTGCATTATGCGTTAATTAAGTTTTGGAATAACTGATGCAGCAAACCAATGAGTATGTGAGGTTTAAAGGTTGATTGAAGAGTATAGAGCAGCAGCTTTGATTGAACCACGTTACATTGGGTGGCGAGCGAGGACATGTTTCAGCGTGGGATTTTTATTTCGACAGAGCTTAGATTTTTATTCCATATGACCTAAATGTAAGATAATTCATATTTGTATACATTTATTTTTGGAGGCAATACCTGGAGGACGCTTTTAATTATGATTTGTACTTGAATTTATTCCAATGAAGATTATTAGAACTTGGACCAATAATGCTTTACTCGTTCATTTTGGAAGTCTCCAACGAGACATTTCAACAATTATAGAGGTAGATTAATGGTCGTTTTTTCATTTAATTTTCTAAAGGTTGGATTTGATGACGTTTATTTGTTATCCTGTTGATATTCCTTGTTTTAGACATTTGGATTAGATTTGGGTTCAAAAACAATTTTCTCACTAAGTTTGACTTTGATTTCTGATTGTCGGCGGTATTTCAATAATTTATTTATTGTGGTTTGTTTGTTGATATAGTCAGATATATTTTATATATATCTTCTGTTCGAATTTTTATTAAAGTTTTGAACTTTTTTTCTGTATGATCTTAAGTGATTAGTTTTTTGTGTTAATAATTATACAATTTTTATTATAACGCTGGATGCTATCTATTTTTCTTAATAAAACTAGTGACTTATATTTGCATAAAAAAATTTCACCTTTTAAATTATATGGATCACTTTAGGTTTCACCTATTTAGAAAAAAAACAATTCCAGCAACTAACAAATTTTTAATATTGTTATTGATTCGGATTAAAAATAATATCAAATTAGTAACATGATCAAATTATTTTAGTGTATAGGTTAAAACCCTGAATTGAATATGGTACAGAGACAACTCATAATTTAACATTTTAAATTTATAATTAACCATATTTCAATGAGGCGTCGAAGTCAAACAACTTTGTTTTTTTTTACTTCTTAACTATTTAACCATATATAGCCATACTAGTTACTAAAGGCTGACGACTACATGCATTTATTCCAGTGGTTGAATTAAGTTGTTTCAGATGACATATCTAAGCTTCGGAAATTGAAAGCTGTATAGGTAAGCAAGGTGTTGCTAGTAGTTGTATAAAGCCCTTAAGCCCCGAACGTCATCTTGGCCAAGGTTCCTTTTGATACTTCCGGGTGGATATTGTGGATACATGATTCCATTTGGATCTTGGCTATGATCAAGTCCCATATTATGTCCTACCTCATGCACGGCTACTGATTGCAGGTCCATTTGGTCCCTGGAGGTGGGATTAGCGGTCCAATGCTCGGCTTCATCAAAGAAAAGCCTCCCATCTCCTGGTGCATAAGCATAAGCCAAAAAGTTGCCAAAGCCATCGATTGGAGCAAACGTAATCTTAATATCGGCTCTGTTGCCTTGTTGCGGTGCCTCGATGAACCTAAATGGAGAAACAACTTCCCATGTTCTGAATGCCTGAGCCATCACATTTCTCATTACTTGCAAATTCGCCCTGTAATAAGCACTTGGTATGAAGCTGTAAGACAGCTGGGGCCTGTTCCATCTAGGTTTCCCATCGAAAAACTTATAATTAGACATGCTTTGATTACGAGGGATGGTATCAGGGAAACCACAACGAGGGGTCTGCATTGCTTTGATTGTATCAGGATCGACCTTTCCAGTTACTTTTAGATTGTGAAATCCCTGGAATGTTTCTAGTGCAGACTCTAAACCCTCATCAAATTTATCATCAAACACGGTAGTGTTTTCATGAGGAGGATTGTAGTAGCCCAGGGTATCCAGAAATTGCTTCACTTTATCAATCCCCCTAACAATGTCTCCTTTCTGGGCTTCCTCAAGAGATTCTAATTTTAAAAGCATGGATTTAACCATAAAAGGTTGCACCACAATGAAGACAAGAAAGGCTCCAAAAAACTGATGAGAAAATTTAAGTGCCATTGCAAGCTATGGTACAAGCTGTAAGATGAAGTATTGCTCTAGTGTTCTAGGGCGTGAATTTTGGTGTTTGCCTTACCTACTATTTATACCCAAAGCTTATGCATGGAAGCTTGGACGATACAAGACTGAGAGAAGAATATTCATTAGGCTATTAATATAAGTTAGGTACCATGTTGGGCTACTTTCATTCTAGCCGTCGTGCATTCAATTCCATTCTAGTTTTCCGCACTAAATTTTAATATTTACTATAAACCAATTGAGTTAATGAAATGAGACATTAGATTTTTAAGCAAGGCCAGTGTTCAAAACCTGACGTTATAAATGAAGTAAACTGAGTTAAGATAGTTGTTCTTATAATGAATTTTTACCGTATCTTTGTAACCATTTGAATTTATCAAAAATTTTAAATTCTAAAAAATAAATCAATCAGTGTTAAATTTATGCTTGAATAAATTCCCATCCATATTTAAGTTCAATTTGTGTCGTATATCACATGTCAATTACGAATAGCATGTTAGGTTTAATTTATGGAGTAATAACAACTAGCCTTCTGTCCTTAGATTCTATTGCTCATGTATAATAGTGTCAGTTTGAATAAAAATGGTTGGTTTATAAGATAATTCTTTATTTATATTAATTAAAATTTATCAATACTCATTTGATTTAGTGAAATAAGATATTATTTTTTTTAAGTTTTGACATAAATAAAATATATTAAGAAAATTAATAAATTAAAAAGTATTCAATCTAGATTAATCAATTCATAAAATTTAGAATAAAAATATAGAGGAAACAAGTGATATTGAAATTAATTCTATATGGAAAAAATTGATGGCCATAATAATATCTCATGAGTGCAAAATTAAATAAAAAAAATAGTAGAGAACAGAAAATATTAACAAAAAATTAAGGATAAAGCACGAACTAAATTATCATAAATGTTCGAGCATCAACTATTGCAGCCAGAATGACTGAATGTCTATTATTAAATGATTGAGAATATTATTTAATTTAATAAAAAAACTAAAGATAAAAGAATGTAATAATTAATATTCATGATTGATAAATCGAAAATAAAAGAAAATTTGAGAAGTTACCCTGGACCTAGGCTAGAAAAGAAAATAAAACGTTTTAATGATAATTGAGCGACGAAATGGTGTAGTTTAATAAAGAGTAAATTACATGTTTAGTATTTAAATTATTAATTTTAGTCTATTTTTATATCTAAAATTTAATTTTTTTTATTAGTTTTTATTTTATTTTAGTACCTCGCCTTTAAAAGTTTTAGTTTTTGTTTTATTTTAGTACATTGTTTAAAATTTGACGTTAATTTTTGACAATATTAAAAGTATATGTACTAAAACGGATAAAATTGATAGCTTAGGCATAAAACATGTTAAGTTTTTAACGGTGGAGTACTAAAATGAAATGAAAACTAAGTGTTAGATATGATTTTAAAGAAAATGAAAATGTAGGTACTAAAATGGACTAAAACTGATAGTTTATCCACTAAATGCATAGTTTACCGATTAATAAAACGTTTACAGGGAAAAACTTTACGATTGATAATCACAAAGCTGTACAAATAACCAAGTTATTTAGTTAGTGTGGGGGGAGGAAGAAAACATCAGATCACAACCAGATAAAAAATAAACAAGAGATGATCAAACTTCACGATTTAGTTCTAAATAATCTTATCATTATTTCTTAATATAATAATAGATTCGATAACCGATATTTAATAATAATTAAATATTAATAATGATCAAAATCCAACATCAAAACTATAGGGATATAACATGCATCTTGAGTTTCAAGAGGATGAGTTAGATAAAAAGAAATGTTTCTTACGTGGTGATGGGATGGATATCGAGCAGATATGAGGAATTGAAGGGATATAAGAAATTGGAGTCTATATGAGCAATGGTAATAGAAGTAGCCATTCACACTTGGAAAATTATCACTTTTCAAAACATTATTTATTCACGGTCAATAAAAGTGAGAAATATGTCAATAAGTCTCTTATTGATCACGATATTAAAAAAAAACGCAGAGGAAGAATCAAGTGCTGGAAAGCTCATTGCCATATGTGATGATCAAGTAATCATCAACACACTATTTGATCAAGGATAAAACCGGGGTATGTTAAACATTTGTTCTATGGGTTTGTACTTTTTTTAAAGTTTATATTTTGATGTTGGATTGCGAAACTCTCCCAGATTCTTTCATCGAACATTAAGACGTGTAAATAATGAAATTAAGTTCGATGTTTTATGATGATGTTCTTTTTTCTTTTAATATTTTATTGACAAAGTATGAAACAAATTCCAAAATTTGGGATGGTTGATGGGGAATTCGAGTTAATTTTTCATTAAAAAAATCGTAGAATTAAGAGAATAATAATCATCAACTTAGTAAAAACATGTTTATAATGAAGATGGTACAAGAAAATCTTGAAAATCGTTGATGGTTATGTTTATTCATTCTGTAAGATCGATAAGTAAAAAAAAAAGACGATTAGAGGTCAAAATCCTATTAAAAGACAATGACGAAGGTCTATGTGTACGCATTATGTAAAATTGATGAGCAAGAAAACGTGATAAAAATATTAGATACTTTAATTATTGTTCAATTGAATAAGTGTAATCGAATCCAACTTCAATGAATTTATTTATAAAAATGAGTAAGATACAACTTTCAAAATCTATTTTTTTTTATTTTGGTGATATATGACTTTTTTCACCCATATATATAAATTAAATAAACGAATATGAATAAAAGTTTATTCACTCGGTACGGTCATAATGACAATGACAAAGTGGTTGAATAAGAGTTGCTCAGCCGCTCTTCAAATCTCAACAAGATCATGCCAAACAAGAAAACCAGGTTTTTTTACACTCTTCGCTGTCTAGGAATCTTCATACTAAGACTTCTAAACAAAGATATGGTCTGGAATTCAAGGCCACCAGAATAATCACCACCCAAACATGTGCACTGCCGTATCAATATTTGAACAATATGCAGTTCCATCATTAAACACCAATTTACAGCTAAATGTCAGATGTCAGATCTCCGGAGTTCTTGCGACTCGGATGCAGTAATAAGTGTAAAACCTTGATTGTGTTCATGAGCTCATGTTTTCCAAACTCGAACACTGCCGTCCACAGAGGAGGTTATCATACAGTTTTCTTTTGGACGGTAGCTCACACTTGTCACCTGCCAAAGAAAGATAAACCAATCAAAATACAGCAATGAAAGACCGCGTCATCAACCCTGGAAAATAAAAATGTTAGTATTGTAAGGCTAGCCACCCTGCAATGCCGTGTTTGGTTGAGGGGATGCCTATAACATTCCCCTTTAATTATCCTGAAAATTAAGCAGTGCCAGAAGAAGCAATAGGGAAATAAATAAGAAAAAGAAAACAGTACCACTGATGGATGAGCTCGGAATTTTGAAACCACAAATGCATCTACCAGATCCCAGAAGAAGATTGAGCCATCCTCAGATCCACCAATTACATGTGCATCACTGTTGGTTAGGAAGCAATCCATTTTGTAGGACTATTGCAGAACAACGAAAGCCAAATTATAGCAATCCATGAACAGAAAATAATGGAAACCTAAAGAGCTTGGAAATAAAGATGGATAATTAAAGAAGTTCAATTCCTGGACATTTTTCACAACTGAAATATGTCCTTTATATTCAGAACACTTCGAATAGATAATCAATACTTAAAGGGGGACAGACTAGATAATTTAAAGGCAGATGAAAATATTTGCAAGTTAAGGATAAGGCCTGCATTCTAACCTTGCAAGCATGTCCTTTATATTCTTGCAATAGTTCACCCGTGGACCTGCAGTAGGAGAAATCCAGATTTAGGGGCATTCAAAGGTAGACAATATTTTGCAGCAAGAATCCAATTACATTGAAGGCTTTACCTGTCTAAAATTCGTATACATGAATCCAAGCAACTGGCTAATATACAGTTACCGTCGTTTGACTTTGAGATACAGTTAACAGGTTGCCTTAAGTCATCCGATATTTCTCTACAACAAAAAGAAAGGAAATCATTTAATGGACGTTCACACTGTGATAATTGATATAACCCAAGTTAGAACCTAAAGGAAAACTCCAGAATAGCTTATGTTACGCACCGACCGATACGGATATCAAATGTTCGAACAGTTCCATCAACACTTCCACCAGTAATTTCAGTCTTGGTTAAACATACAGACATAACCGTGTCCAAAAATGAGTCAATTATCTGCATATCGGTGTAAAATTAAAACTGATAAGCTATTATATACAATAAAACCATTCCTAATATTATATAACAAGATGAAAATTTTGAACCTGTATGGGTCCAGTGCTGTGAGACCTGCAGTACCAAGCACGCAATGATCTATCATAACCTGCAGATACTACCACCGATGCATTCTCATTAAACTTCACCGCATTCACCTATGAAATATATTAACATAAAAGTGGAAATGTCAGCAAAGATTTCAAATTTAGTTTTGGCGAAGCAATTAATTTTACTAATTGCTTTTGTTTTCATAAGCCAAAATTAAAATTAAAGCTAGACTTGTAATAAAATTTTGAAGAACTAAACAGTAAACATTTCACTTTCATCAATGTCAAAATATAAACAAAAAATTTAAGAATTCAATGATTTTGAATCAAATACAAGAAGCAACAAATTTGCAACATTTTACTCGGTGTAAAAAAATGGAAGAATTCGAAGTAAAAACCTCGCCATCATGGCCGCGAAACTTGCAAATAACCCGACAGGTGGAAACATCCCAATAGAAAATCTGTCGGTCTCCGCCGCAAGAACACAACTTGGAGTTATCTCTACACGAAAGAAATATTTTTTTAAAAGGTTTTAGAACGAATTCAAAGAAAGGAATAGAGCAGGTATGAGGAGTGCGGGGTGACGTGGACGTCGCGAACTTCGCGGCAGTGAGATTTGTAGGTTATGATGTGGATGCCACGGTGAGGGTTCCAAAGTCGGATGGTGCGATCCTTGCCGCAACTCAGGCAATAGTTGCCGTCGTAGTTGAATCTCGCGGCTAATACTGCACCATCGTGGCCTTTTAGCACGTTGGTTTCTTTCCTTGGCAGCTCCGACGAGTTCATTCTGGTTTTGTGTTTAGCATTGGCCTTTCTGAACTTGTGCCCAATGTATAAATTTATGAAGTTTTTATCCAATTTAAAATTTAATATTCGAATTTTGAGATAAAAATCTGTATCTTTCTCGACCAGTCTCAATACAAATATAAAAATAATATTATTTTAATATAATTTGTTACATTATAAAGTTCTGTTTGTTTCACTAAAAACGTTTTTCAAAAAATATTTTTCATAAAATGAATTACATTTTTTGAAAAATATTTTACGATTTTTGGAATATGTTGTTTAAATCCTTTTCCTACTAGTTCAATAATTTTTTAAAATTTATTTATTACAAACATTAAATACAATAAATAATATTATTTATCATAAAACTTAATATTATTATTTTTAAAATATTAAAATAATTTATTTATTATTAAAATATTTTTATTTTTATAATTTTTATTAATAAAAATATTAATATTGATATATTTTATTGAAATAAAAATATTATAAATTAATTATTTATTAAAGTAATAGTGTTATATTATATTTTAAAAATATTAATTACTACATTTTAATATCTTTATTAAAATATTATTATATTAATATATTAATATTAAATATATAAATAATATTATTCATTATTAATAATTTAATAATATTATTTCTATTAAATTAATAAATAATATAATTTTTTTAATAATTTATTATATATAATTAAAATAAAAATATAATATATATAATTAAAATTAAAATATAATATCTTATATTATTATAATATAATTGACTATTTTATTATAATATTAAAAATATAATATTATATTATTATAAATATTAATAAATATATTTTAAATATTTTAATAATTAAAATTTTGATTAAAATGATATTAAAATATTTTATTAATACTAAATTCATAAAATAAAATTATTTTGAGTATTTTTTATTTGAAGTGAAAAGTTCGAAAAATAACTTACGGAAAATAAGACTGTAAGTCATTTTTCTAGAAAACACAAAGGAAATTCTGTTGACCAGAAAAATATTTTACGTTGACCAACCAGTTTTCCTATAACTAAACACTGGAAAATGAGGAAAACGTTTTCCGTGAAACAAACTGACCCTAAGTTACATTTCTATTCATACTACATATATTATTGAATAAAAAGGAGTTTAATTGATATTGAATTTGAACTTTAGTACAAAAATTAGTAAAACGAGTTAAATGGGCTTAAGTTCGAATAGTTGGTTTAAATCTTGAGTTAAACTCAAATTTAGAAATTGATACTTGATATTAAATTTGAGTCAAATATTAAACTTAAAATTTTAAATTAAAATTATTTTGATAAGTGTTTGAATTCGATTTGATTGGATTAAATCATAGTTTGCAATAAAGTTATTTTATTTGTTGGTATTATTTGATTATGATCACATATTGTAATCCTTGAACATGGAGTTGAGTAATCAACTTCCAATATCATCACCCACGCCAACTTTACTAACTCACTTATGGTCTTATTCACCAGTTGCAGCTGTTACCCAGTTAAACAAATTCATCATCACATTACTCACATCTTACTTTTGGTCTTCTCTTGGTTTCTCTCTAGTATTCTACTATAAATAACATCCCCAACTTCTCATTTTCATCTTTCCCTGCTATCGTATATAACTCTCAAAACTGTGTTTGTTGTTGTGGTCCTTGGCTCCTTGCATGTTTCTTGGCAAATGCAACAGCAGCAATGGAGCTATGCTACAGCAAGCCAGGCCATAACCTTGCGGTTGAGGCTGGAGGATGGTGGATGCCTTGTCCAGTGCAGCTGAAATCTTGCACCAATATGAGATTGTTGTAGAGATTATTACTGCTGGCCCGTCCATGCTTACTTCCCTTGGTTTCACTTCTAAGGAAGGCAACGTCCTTAGAGGCTACTGTGACGCCTCTTTGCTCCTGCTGCCTCTGCTCCTGCTACAGTGATCAACGAATGCCGCATTCAATAGATATTTACGTCATTAATTGCTCAAATAGAGCAGAACATGTATTAAGGGAAGGAGGGTCGAGCAAGACACAAGAAAGGATACTTGTAAAGCTAAAATGATTAATTAATGAAATGGTGGGAGGGCATCAGAATCATCATCTTCATCTATGCCTACTTTTGTGCTCTCCCCCATGAACAACGACTAGCGGCAGGAGTCATCACCATCTCCATCCAAAGCTTGGTAATCATTTCCCATTTCTCATCAACAACATCCCATCGCATTTCTCTTGCCAACTGCTGCAATTTCAGAGCAAAGCAGGCTCCCTCGTGCAGTGTTCTAACTTAGTTGATAGAAATCAGACTGACTGGTGTTGGTAATCGGCAAAGTGAAGCAGGTTCCTGGTAAATTGTTTCCGGCTTTTACTCAAGTTTTGCTTCTTTTCTTTGATCACGAAACTCTGTGCTTCCTGGTTAATCCACTGAACCCTGCAATCAAGATATCAAGAATAGAGAAATAGCTCCCAAAAGCATCAAGTAAGTCATGCTGATGTCTAGCCACCACTATTATGAGAGCAACCTATGAACATATAGCAGAACCGAAAAAAGAATCGACCATCTATTTAACACTTGCACATCTGAGAATCCATACCTTTTCTCCATAGCATTAAGCGCAAAGTTGGATGTCCATCGGAATTTTGCATAGATATAGACTGCCTCTCCAACTTGGAAAACTAACCCAATGATCATTGTGTCACGATGGAAGTGGAATTAGGGTTGCAACAGAGTGAAATGAGGGTGAATCAGAAGCAATTGAGGATTTGAAAAGGAGAAGAATCTTGAAGCTGGAAGGGCTGGAGCGTATGGAGAGGAGGAACCCAATTGGGCCAGAGCTGAGGTAATTCAAGAGCACCCAACAGCAGCTAATGGAGTCACAATGGGCCTGGAAGATAATGGGCTCTGGTCTGTACAATCCACCAGGAAGGAACCTGCACGAGTCATCAATCCAACCATTATATTTGTTAGATTTGCAGTACATATTACAGCTGTGAGGGTACATGTGCATATATAAATTGTACCAATTCATATTATTGATCATCTCTTATGAATAAAATCAATATTTCTTTTTACCTTAAATTCTTTCTTTCATGAGATCTCTATCTCCTTTAATACATTCACCCCTAAAACGTGACAATTGGTAATCAGAGCATGAGTCCTGACCAATTAAAAAGCTGGAAAAACAGAAGAAAACTCAAGCGATGGAAAAAGATGCAACATTGGCTATCATTCAACAAAGCGTTAAGGAGCTACAGAATCAAATGACAGACCTAAAAGATGATTCTCAAGTGCCAAAATAGTGGGAATAGAAGGAGAAAAGGTTAAAGAACTTGGAATCTGAGTTTGCAGAGCAGAAATGATACTTTACCAACATCCTAAAAATCCTGAGGAACAAGGAAGGGGAGGAAACTTCTGAAGAAGAAGCAAGTTCTGATCATGAAAAGAATAAGGACAACAAGGTAAATGAACCTAATACTTCTAAATCAGTAGGTAAGAAACCGATACATGTTACTGTAATAGGAGAAAAAGAGAGGTATTCTTACCAACCTAATGAACCAGGGATCTTAGCATCTAAACCAGTGGTACTCCAAAGTTCTACACCTTTGCCTAAAAAGTTATAATTAGATAACAATGTGGGCAGTTCTAGTGAGATTAAAATCGGAGGTGAAGAAAATGCTGACAATAGGAATTCATCTAAAGTTCCTTTTAGAAGCACAAGTTCTGTCTTAACTTGACCAAAGGTAGAGCTACAAATGTTTTATGGTAGCAATCCTAGAGGATGGATTAGGAACTGCCAAAAGTACTTCAACTTGTTTGGAATTCCAGAAGAACAAAAAATAGAGGTAGCTGATATGTATTTAGTGGGAATGGCAGAGACCTGGTTTGATGGCTACATTATGCAGAAATGTAGGGTAACATGGCATGAATTCGAGGCAAATTTGTGTCATAGGTTCTGTGAAAAATTATTCAGACATTATTGAAAAGTTCAATAAGTTAATGTAGAAAGGAAGTGTGGAGTTAGTACACGCTCAACCATAAGAAATCAAAGTAGCTAACGGATAGAATCTTTACAATATTGCTAGGAGTAACAAGGTGAGCTGGAAGATGCAAGGTTATGAGTTCCAGCATGATTTTAGAGTCTTGTCCCTAGAAGACAGTGATATGGTACTTGGGGTGGATTGGATGGAGGAATTAAATCCCATTCTGATAGACTCCAAAGCTAGGACTATCAGATTTGAGAATGATGAAAAGTCTGTTGTTATTAGAGGGACTCAAAAACTACCCTTAGTCAGAACCGTCATAGGAGAAAAGTTTCAAAAGTTAGCAGAGAAAGATACTGAATTGAGTAGGGAAATTTATTGGTTAAGTGGTGAAGTTGCTGAAAGTACAATTCCTAAACAACTTCAACCCCTACTAGAATAGTTTTAGGGAGTTTTTGAAGAGACTAAAGGAATGCCTCCCAAAAGGAAACATGATCATGCTATTGTTCTAAAACAGGAGGCACAACCTGTGAAACTTAGACCATATAAATTTGCACATCATCATAAGAATGAAGTAGAGAAGCAGATTGCTGAAATACAGTTATATTCTATGATTCAAGTGAGCAAAAGCCCTTTTGCTTCCCCATGTTTACTCATCAAGAAGAAGGATGGGACCTGGAGATTTTGTGTAGACTACAGATAGCTTAACTCTGCCACAGTTAAGAATAAATTTCTTATTCCCATAGTAGATGACTTACTTGATGAACTGAATGGGGCTTCATTCTTCTAAAAAATTTATCTAAGATCCATATACTGACAAATCAGGATTAAGGATGAAGACATTCATAAGACTGCTTTTAAGACTCACCAAGGACATTACGAATTTAAGGTAATGCCCTTTGGGCTTACTAATGCTCCAACTACTTTTAAAGCATTGATGAATGATTTATTTGGTGCATATTAAAGGAAGTTTGTCCTTGTGTTCTTTGATGATATTTTGGTTTACAGTTCTAGCTTGGCAGAACA